TCCTTTCCAATTTGCCACAAGTTCCACAAGAAACAAGGAAAAACAATTAAAATGGTGAACAGCATACACAAATATAGATGTATCGCATTCTCAATCTTGGATTGAGAAGCAATTATACCAAGAGAACCTTGAACTTACCTCATTAGTTCCAATAGATAATCTGCAAACCCAACAAAACACATTGCCAGAATCAAAATTAATTACTATTAAGAGTCCATAAATACTTCGTTTTGGACATAAAACCTTCGAAAAGCAGGGACTGGAAAGAGACAGGAAGATGACTAGTCTCCAATCTTGAATATGGAACAAGATAAAGTTGATTCTAACGGTTTTGCACTGGGAGCAAAACTTTGAGACAAGAAGGTTCCAATGAAGATTTGAGTGGATTTTGCAACCAAATATCAACTTAATATTGATTCCCCAAAAGTATGGTGCTAGTAGCTTATCCAGAAAAACATAAAGAAAGAGGGAGAATTTTAACAAAGACCTGGAAGGCTAATTAAAGTATAGTTACCATACATAAGAGTAAGGGCCAAGCCTCCAGGATTCCTTAACATCAAGAATATATCTAATTAGAAAATGAAACATATTTCAAGAAAATGAAGCAAAAGTAGTACAAGAATAAAAATAAAATTTAGAAGAATAAATGGAAATGCATAAGTCTGCTGTGAGCATATGTTCCACGACTCGACATCCAGTTCACAGATTGATGCTTCAGTACATAGCTCTCATCAGTACATGGTTGTTTTCTGCTTGGTTATAAATATTACAATATGAAATCATACTATCACATAAGCTGACTTTTAAAATGTCAAATATTTCTACATACAACAATATATAGTCCTTTTAAAAAATGATTATTTAGGATATAATTTAGCCAATCAATTCAATATTACAACATTATACAAGGTCCTAAACAGCCTGTTCTAGTTTAAATAACGATCCATCATAGACCCCTTTGGTCTACCATGTGTCTAATATCCCATAGATATATTGCAGACTGCTTCAGTTTCTATAAGCAAATACTACCTCTTTTACACATTTTACAAAGATTTGTGTAACATGGAAGACATGCATCACTCTCTAACCAAGTAATTAATACTTTTGTGTCAAGCGTTTCCTTGGTGAAAGCACAAACATGGATCAGTCAATCAAATCCTAAATTTGTTTATGCTCTTTAGGATTTATATAAATTCAGGAGCAACTAACCAAGGCATCATATCAAACAACTAAGTTTTGGCAAGAAAAATGTGCTCTATTTTTTTCAACTCTCGATCACAATTGTCACAAATCAGGACAAAAGTGTAGGAAAACTAAACCATGGGAGTAGCATCAACCAAATATATGGAAAGCATTAGAATAAGACAATTAGATTGAACTCTGTAAAGAAAAGATACATAGAACTTCTCCACATGGTTTCTTATAAGTTGATTATATTGGGATAACCCAAACATATCTTCCTAAACAATCATTAACAAGAGACTGCCACTATCAAGATTACCCAAGCAACTTATCCAATAAAGAATTAATACACTGCAATCTCATGAGAACTGACAAAATTGATTTTACCTATAACAAAGTTACATATTAGTTTCCTGCAAAACTGATTTCCGAACATTCTGTAAACCATATGAAAGTTTGTAATCTCTGGTTCTGGTGGACCTTATGGATTCAAAACATCCAGCAATGTACCAAATTGGTAAAACTTAACTTTCTTCAAAGTTCAGGCATTGACTGATTTGATGAAGATGATTCATTTGAATCCGCTAAGTATATTATAAAAGAATTTTGCCCCAAACAATAACAATGCTCCACAGAGAGATGACAAGCAGCCACAGTAAACCACCCTTGAGGTTCTTAAAATCCACCAAACAAAAATTTGACAGATACAAAGCTACCCCTGGAATTGACTTTCCTTATTCTTTATATGAACGGAGGCATATCTTCTCGAGTAGCAGTGGCCAATCTTCACCAAGTTGCTGTGGGTTCAACTCCATTGCCACCCTTAAATCCTGCAGAGATATCAAACTCTGTGTTTTCAGCCTCTGCAAGTTGCCAAAAGACCTACCACTATTCTGTACATGCATGTGATTTCCAGACCAAACACCATTAATCAGCTTCTCTTGTGCTTGCTGCTTGAAGACTGAAGGCTTTGTTTGATCATGACCTGACCTTATTCCTAATAATTCAACACATGACCTAATTAGAAGCTTCAAATAAACATCTAAGCCATTATTTAATAGATTAGAGGAGTCCAATGTGACTCCTTCCAAGCCATGGGCTTCTGCTATTTTCTCCATCCTTCTCTTTAGAGACTCAGTATGGCATAACTCTCCACAATGATAGTTACTACTATGATTACTGCTGCTAGAAGTAATTAAGGGCAAAGATCTTTGTGCCCCACCCAAACTTGCAGGACAGAAAGGGATCCCAAGTGGAGCCTGAAGAGGACCTCTCTTGAAATTCAAATCATCAGCTTGTTCCAACTCATCCATCCCTTCCATGACTAAAAACTCAACTGAACCCTTGTGCTCTACATAAGCTTGATCATGAGGTGTCCTATTTTCTCTCCGCGGTCTCTTTACAGGATGCTCCAAGGGGACACCTTGATGATGCTGCATTGGTCTCTTCAAATCACAAGGGCCAAGAACACCATTCTCTTGGGTGGCATTCTCATCTAAGGACACCAAAGACTGATAAGAAGTCGCATCCATTCCTCCATTCTGTCCAAGAGAACTAGGACGATCTTTGATCCTCCGGTCTCGGATGCATGACCTAGCCTTGCGAGGGGATGGAGGTAAGATGTTCCCATTGCACCCTAATGTGTGCTTCGCTGTCGGTGCTGTCAAATGGTTAACGACGCTTTCGTCTTGAGATGAGTTCTTTCCAACCGCTTCAACAGACTTTGGAGCATCCTTCTCAAGGCCAAGTGAAGGTGGGTGTTTTGCCAGAAAGGCATTCTTGAGGATCGAGCGAATAAGATGGTTGTGCAAAGGTATATTCTCGCGCCCGAGTATCAAAAGACAATACTTGTTGAAATCTGGTTTGCTCAGCTTTTGTGCCAACAACTGATTCACATAGCCGAAATATCGCTTGGAGCGCTCAGGGCCGAGCTTTTTAGCTATCTGCAACTTGAGGTCACCGAGATTGATCCGGGTATGCTGAGAAGGCTGCGGCATCGGCGTTGGCATCTCTCAATGCACGGGGGCCATACAACTCACCAGATCAACAAAATTAGTGTTCTTCGTTTCTTCCACCCTCTTATCTCAAACCCAAAGAAAAGAAACTAAATCTCGATCCACTTCCAGCGGATTCAGCAAGTCATAACCAATATCCTTCTCCTCAGCTTAAACAACCGGTCGAAAATCCCATCTCAGGGCGCGGGAGCAAAACCCTAGAGCAAGCAGGGACTACAAAGATCCACTTGGCAAGCAATGATCCCCAGCTTGAACCAACTCGAAAGGCCTCCCACGAGAAGGGAATTGCGATCGAGCTGGATCAAAACCCTAGAGGGACTGAATCCAACTAGAGGATACACGAAATCCGCGGCCGGAAGCTCGAGAAAGATCCCGTATCTGCAGACGGAATGCTCGTTGAAGACCGCTCCGAAGATCGATTTCGTGCTCTGCGAACGAAAGACCAACTTCAGCGACGCGGATCGCGCTCGGAGATGGAAGGCGGGAGGGAGAGATTTCAAAGAGAGAGCGACGGAGAAGGAAGCAAGGGGGCGAAGCGAGCGAGGAACGATCGAACCTCGGGGGTAGGAGTGGCAGGAGGAGCGCCGGCGAAGGGGACCCTGCGATTCCAAGCTCGAAGCGACCACGAATTCTCCCTTCTTCCTCTCACCCTCCCTCTCCCTCTTCTATTTCCTCTTCCTCTTCGGCTTCGTTAAATCTTCTTCTTCTTCTTCTTCTTCTTCTTCTCCTTCGCTTCGTCGGCTCGTCGCGACTTCGTGTCTCTCTCGCGCGGTGGTGTGATTTGGATTGGATTTCACCGTGACGACTCTTTTTCGATCTCTGCAAACACACGATAAGAAAAACACGAAATGGAAAGAAAGAAGAGAAAACATTAACACTCGCTCTTTCTTTCTTTATTTTTCTTTTAGTGTGTCGCAAATAATAATAATAATAATAATAATAATAATAATAATAATAATAATAATAATAATAATAATGTCTTTATGTTTGTAATGGGCATATTTATATAAAATAAGAGGAAAAAAAATCTGATAACTAAATATTTAATTCGAAAAGACACTATTATTAGGGATAGTTGTGATTGTTGAGGTGATTTGGTGTGAAGGGGTTTGCACAAAAATTAAAGCTTGCTTGTGTCACAACCGATCGAAGGAGGAGGTCATCATGTTGTTTATGAGGATTGAATGGTTTTGGTCATTCCTGTGTCTGCATGAGGAAGGAAGAATAAGTGTGGGCAGGAGACATCTTTCTAGTTGTAACCTGCTTCCCAACTGAAGCATGTCTGAAGCATAGAATGTTCTAACTGGGAGAGAGAGAGAGAGAGAGAGAGAGAAAAGTACATGGAATATTTCCAAATGTGAATATCTAGAGGGATGGGACAGATTCAATGCATGTCATTCAGGTTCTTGCAGGAATTTGAAGTATAAATGTGACATAACCAATTTAGGGGGTTTATTGTCTCATCCAAGATAGATTTGGCTCATTCCCACCAAACAGGTGATGAGCTCACAAGCAGGCCACTGAAGCTATGCTGTTGGATAAAAACACATCACATGATGCAGGCAGAGAAGACATCCCTGCTATGCTCAAATTTGATTTGCATGCAATTGTCATCAAGATATGGAAAGTGAACAATGATGTAATCTCAAGATGTGATTTGAAGCTATTCAAAAACCACTGTAGGAAGTATATGTTTGGGTTCACTATGAAGGAACAAACCGTCTTCAACACGGTTCAATAATATCAAGTACATTCCGTGCCGAAGAAGGATTAATAGCAGTCAGAAGCAAATTGTGACAAGTGTGAAGCAGAAAGAAAATGAGACTCCTATTATTTTGATTTATATCTGCATCAAAGTCGAGCAGAAAGGCCATTTTCCTGGCTCGCGTGACATGGAAGGAGTTCGGAAAGAAAACTAGTAGAACGACTACAATAGCAATTATGCAGGCCTCGAAGACACTATACTAACTAAAAACAGAAAGGTCTTCCTCTTGCTCCATGCTCGGAATGCCTGCTCCCATTACACCGTGTAATGCTGCTGGATGTTGTCGATGTCAAGCCCCTTGAGCTTGACCACTGATTCTACATGACCCTTCAGAGTATTCAGCTCCCGAATCCTACAAATGAGCACAAGATCAGAGACCTCAGAATTGGTATTGCGTCACACTTTTGATTTTTTATTACTTCAGTTCTCGTGACTTAGCTATAGAGTTGTTCTCATTATGTAAAGTAAATCCGGTTGAAAATGCAATACCTTGCAATCTCAGCTCGTCGTTTGGCTTGCTCAGCAATCTCTGAAAGTTCTCTATAGCTGCTCTTCTCTGAGAAGATATTGGCAGTTTCAGGAGGTTGGAGTCCATGCAGAGTTCGTTGTGCCATAGCCCATTGAGCTTCCCTTTCTTCCCTACCATAATCCTTCTTGGTAGTGAATGCAGTCTGTAAATTTTGAATAAGTTAAGCAACGAGTAATAAGTTAATTAAATGGACAGCAGCTTAACAGACAAGGATGTAGAGATACCTTGTTCTCCAGGAGGTTATCCCATGCCTTTCCACTCAAAATGTAGCGGATGGCAAATTTGAACCAGTCAAGAGGGAAGAAGAAAACAACACTGTATAGCCAGATAACTCCAGCCCATCCCCATCCTATACCTTTTATCCGTGCAAAGCCCCAGTCAGCATAGACAGCTATAAGCGTTGCAACCTGCCAGAAGAATTTCAGATACAGAAGAATGATCAAAGAGTTGAATCCAAATCATGGTAATCTCTTCCAGAAAAAGTGCAGTGGAACATGATCTAGTAGCTTGCGGATCGAAAACATTTAAACAAATATTATATTGATTAATTATTATTTCAAAGGAAAACCAGTGAAACTATATTTACCCTTTTACGAATATTCGTTAACAGCTTTTGCATTAAAGGTTTCCCACATAACAAGACTGATACTATACGTACTGAAGTAGTTATCTTAGAAAAACATGTTGTGAAAAGAATGGGTAAAGCAATATGAAAGAGATAAGAAGATCATATTGTTAAGATAAGGATACATGAGAGGAAGGAACTTACAAGTTGAGCAATAATGAAGGCACTGACTAAGAGAAGTCCAGGGCGTTCAATAAAACACCAGCCGCGTGATCGAGTAACAAAAATAAGTGCCTGACTAACAATACTAACTTGCAGGTACAAAGCAGACATCATCTCATCTTCACTTTGCCTCAGTGATCTGACCTTAAATTTATCCTGCCAAGATATAACCAGAAATCATGTTATATATAGCAATGTTCAGTAGATTAAAATTTATTTTATCTCAGCTATAATCAACAAGCTAACACATGTAAGTAGGCATGATATATTGAGAATTTCATGACATGGCATGGAGGGGAGAAATGCCAGCTGTGTTATAATAGAAAATTTAATCTATATATGAGGGACAAATCTTCGTGTTGCAAGCTTTACATATTTCTGACAAAAAAGAACTCTAACAGAACTTCAATATTCATTTTTTCTCATTAGAAAAGAAGTATGAAATTACTCACAGAGAAGAAGTCAGTTTCTTTCATGGCCCAGAAGAATATAACAGTCATCAGTGCCAAATAACTGCCAAACACAACGCCGGTAGCAAAGATCTCTTTTAACTTCCAACTATCAGGCATTGGAGATGGTTTCACTCGATCCTTCGAGATTGTCATGATTGTTCCTGCATTTGTAAAATGACAACAGGAAAATATTTCAGAATAACCACAATGAAAATCAGAAACAATATTGTGCACAAACCAAGTGACTATGTCATCTGAACTTACCATCGTTTAGAATGGCAATGATCAGAACCATGAAAGGTGAGAAGTCAAACTTCCATATTAGTGCAATAAGCATAAATCCAAGCTGCGATAATTTAAAGCCATTAAGATTCAGACATAGAGAGAGAAAGAGGATAAATTGGAAAAAACATAATTGCATGCTTCTACTGGAGGGCATGGTTAGATAAATACTTACCACGATACGAATGGTGATGGAGACAGCATAAATCTGCAGTTCAACAAGATCATAAAGCTAAGTCAGAATTATATAACAATCATGATAAGAACTAAAGGAACAGCATTAGCGGTTGTTACGTACAGTGTAATTCTTCATCCTCTGGAAAATAGCACGGCTGGTAAGCACGGCACTGATGATCACACTAAGACCAGGTTCAGTGAGGACAATGTCAGAAGCACTTCTAGCGGCATCTGTAGCATCAGCAACAGCAATCCCAATATCAGCCTTCTTGAGAGCAGGGGCATCATTAACTCCGTCTCCAGTCATTCCACAAATGTGCTTCTTCTCCTGCAACTTCTTCACAATTTCATACTTGTGCTCTGTTCAGAAAGGAAAAGGTTCAATAGCTAGCTCAAGATTTAGAATCACAATAGCAATAACATAAGAAGATCAAGCCCACCTGGAAACACCCCTGCAAACCCATCAGCCTTCTCTATTAGTTCATCTACGGGAAGTGCAGCTATTGATGCATCCTTATTTTGGCCAAGCAATGAAGAGGAAGGGTACATGTTGGTTCCCATTCCGAGTCTTCGACCTGTTTCCTTAGCTATGGCAAGTTGGTCACCTGGATAGGAATAATTATGTTAGGAAAAGAAGACAAATCCACGCAATGGCGATAAAAGATAGCCCAATTACCAGTAATCATCTTCACATTGACACCAAGGTTGAGAGCCCTTCGAATAGTTTCCGCACTGTCATGCCTTGGAGGATCAAATAGAGGCAACAAACCAACGAATTGCCATGGCCTCCCTGGACTCTCCTTGGACTTCTCTGGAACTTCCTGCATAACAGAAAATATTTGTTGTGAGCAATACTATATTTGCTCCAGTAGCAATTTGAATTACTGAGAGAAAAAAGTAGACCTGTCTCGCAACAGCTAGTGATCGCAACCCGCGTTCAGCAAACTTGTCAATAACAGAATGAACCTTATTCCTGACGTCTTCCTTGCAGTTGCAAAGGCTCAAAATCTAATCCAAGGGGAAGAGTTAATTATTCTTGAAAGCGATAATGCGTTCTGAATAAATTGAATGCACAAGTTTCCTTAGAAAATTGAGGTTAAAAGAAGATGATGAAAACAATTTACCTGTTCTGGAGCACCTTTGCTCACACGATGCCAGTTGCCATCAGCATCAATGTAGGTGAGAGCAGTTCTTTTGTCGACGGGGTTGAAAGGAAGAAAATGAACTTCCCTGATACCTGCCCTCGCCTGCACATTAGATATTAAAACATTATCCAAACCTAGCATAAATCATCCAAAATTGTGAACATAGAACATGTCATCAATTATTTATCCTGCCAAAAGAAACCCATGAACTACCTCTTTTGGGTCCGCAAGCATCCCGACCATGGCAGCATCAATGGCATCTTGATTCTCTGTCCTTGATGCTCTCGCTGCCAATAAGACCACATGTTCCTTATCCACACCCTTGGCAAAGACCTCGATGAGGTTCTTGTCAACGCTCAGCTTGTTGAGGGTTAGCGTCCCGGTCTTGTCACTGCAGAGAACGTCCATGCCGGCCATCTCCTCTATTGCAGTCATCCTCTTCGTGATGGCGCCTTGCTCAGAGAGCCTGTGGGACCCGATGGCCATGGTCACCGACAAGACCGTGGGCATAGCGATCGGAATACCTCCGATCAAGAGGACCAAGAGATTGTCGATCCCATCCCTGTATCTTCGGTGCTGGATCGCGTACATGACGACGATCTCCACCATCATCCCAACCGCGATAGAGCAGATGCAGAAATTCCCAATGGCCGTGAGCACCTTCTGGAAATGGCCGACTTGGTTCGTGCTGTCAACGAGATGGGCCGCTTTCCCGAAGAAAGTGTGCACACCGGTGGCGATGACAACGGCCTCGATCTCACCCTGCTTGCAGGTCGACCCGGAGAACACCTCATCTCCGGGGTTCTTAGTGACAGGGAGGGACTCTCCGGTCAACGCAGATTGGTCAATCTTCAAAGGATCTCCTTCGAGGAGGCGGGCATCGGCAGGGACGATATCTCCAAGTTTTATGCTGATAATATCACCAGGAACCAGAATCGCTGCGTCCTCCTCCATCCAGCGGCCATCTCTGAGCACCTGCGGGCATCAAATCATCCATATGGATAAACCGAAAAGACCTCAGAAATTGAAGGGAGCTCGTTGACTTTGCATCACAAGGCTGAGAACCGGTCCATACCTTCGTTTTGGGGGCAAGGCCAGCCATCAGAGCGGCGGCAGCATTGCCGGCGTTGTTTTCTTCGATGAAACTGATGGTGGAGTTGATCACGAGCAACACAACGATACCAACGAAGTCTTGCCAGTCTGGGGGCTTTCCACTGCCGTTGGCCAAGGCGATGGCCATGATGGCGGCCATTTCCATCACCCACGAGAGCGGGTTCCACATGAACCCCAGAAATTTGAGAATTTTGCTCTCCTGCACATCAAGAACGCCTCCATCTTTCAGTGAACAAAGTAGCAGAATAAACGAAAGCAGATTTTAGAACCACATGGGTTCAAGCAAAGAAAAATTTTGACCTTTTTTTCTTCGAGTTTGTTGGGGCCAAAGATTTGGAGCCGATTGGCCCCCTCGGTCAACGAGAGACCTTCCCGAGTACATTTCAGCTGCTCGAAAACCTCCTCGATCGGAATGCGTTCCTGAGGTCGGAGAAAGGTGAGATATTATCAACCAAAATGAAACAGAAGAATTCCGTGAAAGGCTGGACTTCTCGTGATATGTCTTGTCAGATTCTCGAGAGAACATCAACATCGCGTGAATCAGCAGCAAAAAGCTTCGTAATTTACTACTTAATCTTCCAAAAGAAGCACAGCGGTGCTGGAATCAATTCCGGTGGAACCATTCGCTGGGGTGTCGACGCCGTCCAAAATAGAAATTTGTTTGTACCCATCCCATATTTTATTTTTAGTGACGGCACACCGTGAAACACTAGTGCGAACACGATCGAGGATCAAACGGCAGAGGAGGCAAATCGGTTCACGGATCTCGGAACGAAATTAGAGAATCCTTTTGGCTTCAGTGACAGCCGACACGGCGAGATACAAGGAGCAGGAGGGGGAAGACGGACAGGCGGAGGGACGGAAAGGTACGAACGGGAAGTACTCGGAAATCTCCCAAACGAGGTGCAGCAGAAGCGAGACCACCACCACATCTTTGTCTTTAACACAAACAAAAACGAGCTCTAAAACAACGAACGATATTCTCACTACTTGGTTTTTATTTTTGGTATGAAGAACACAAAAAAGAGTAACTTTTAATGGCCTCTTTTCCTATTCTCTACCTACTATTTACTCGGTTCTCCCTTCCATGAAGATCAACGAGAAGCCAAAGAAAATTAATGAGACCTTCAAGTACTAAACAGTACGGCAACATCTAAACTATGTTTAAGAAAGCAAATTAAGCAGAAAAAGAAGGGGAAAAAAAAAGGAAATCGTCGAGTCAGAAGAACTGAAGAAGCAGAAATTGTTCGAGTCTCAAATACGACGATAAAATCTCGAGCAAATGCAACATGGACGAGCATAGACGAGACGATAAGACAGATCTGAAAAAAGATTCCACTACATCAATCGATTCTTGCAATCGAATACCGTCGAGATCCAGCGATCGAGAGAATAGGAGGAGTCGCTCACCAGATCAACGGTCTCGTTCTTGATCTCATCCAAGCTAATCGCCTTGTCCCCGGCCATCTCTCCTCCCCCTCGAACTCCGACCCACCAAAAAGAAGAAGAACTACAACGAGAATCCCTAAAGCACCCAAGGGGCAACCATTACCAAGGACTTTCTCTCACTATCGCTCTCTCCACCCCGCCACACCCACGCACAAGATGGACGAGAAGGATAGAAGAAGAGCTTAGCAAGTGGAGAATGGTAGCCCGACTCCAAACGCCATCCTTTTATAGTCCCCGTTCCGCTCCTGCTCCTCTTTGCGGGCCCCGCCGCCACCCATCGTTTACCTACTGACGTGGCGGGCACCCCGGGGGCTTTCCCTGAGAGCGCATCGGTCAAACCTTTTCGCGTGGGAAACCTAAGAGTTACAGATCAACGGTGATGCCTCGCCCCGCATAGAACCTGCAATCTCGTCGAGCAGCGTGATTTAAACCAAAGCGGCGAGTCCAAGTCCACCACCTGCCGAACCTTAGCGCACCGGGTGGGGCCCGAGGCTAATGAGCCCACGTGGTGGAAGCATCGTTTCTCCGGTATTTGACTTCAGACGGTGGGGGCCGCAACGCGTAATGGTATACGTAATAAAATAAGGTAACCTTCTGAGTAATTTGGTTGCAGGGGGTGGTGGTGTCTTCTTCCACCTCGATGGGAGCGTGATTAGCTGATGGTGGGCCGGTTCCATGATAGGCGACGAATCTCAGCCGTTGATTCGTGCGGGTAAGCCGGGTTTCCTCCGACCGTTCGCGACCCCATAAGACGTTGAACCGACCCTCGGCGGATCCGAGTTTTTTAGTTTTCGTATGCAACAAGATTCATATTTATATAAGGTTTGCATGTGATGCCATTTGCCACCTTACTAAGAAGGTAAGAAACGCCTATTTCCAAAAAAAAAAAAAATTTCAAAAAATTTTATAATTTTTATATAAAAATAATTTAATTCTTAATAGAACTCATATAGGTTCGCGAGGAATTATTCATTTTGGGTGATGAGTGTATCCGTACGATTTTATCCTTTTCGAAACGTATGATCTTCAAAAGATACTTTTAAGGATAAAAAAGATCTGACAGACTTATGAGTCCTTAGTTCTCATACTCCTTAACCAACGTTGGACTAAATGATCTTATCATAAATAAAATTATTATTTATAAAAAAAATAATTTTTTTAAGATAATTTTTTATAAAAATTATATATATGATTGAATATAAAAAAAATAGGTTCCAAACCTTTTGCAACTCAAGAGGAGACTAGTTTTTTTTAAAGATTTATTAGAAGGGCATTATGAATATAAAACTTATACAATCCATATATAATAATAATAATAATAAGTCTTCCAAGGAGTTGTAAGGTGATGCATTACTGTGCTGGCAATGTGTATGGCTGACGCATACACAAAATAATGTGCTTTGGTAGGGACCACGAAGTTGAATCTAATCAATGCCACACTGTCATAAATTGGGACCCATTTCACACGACACTCGTTTGCGTGTGTAATGAATTAAGCGTTTTTTAGCTGTGCACTTTTTTTTATAGGAAAAAACAAAAAAAAGTACTTTTAATAAAAATATGTTTCTGGTCAAAATAAACCAGAAAATTGTAGTATAATAATCAGGAATAATTATCAAGATAATAATTGAAATAAAATAAGATGAATTAAGAGAATAATCATACGTTATTAAGAATTATAAAAGTCAGATTATATATATATATATATATATATATATATATATATATATATTACATTTCAAGGAAGATTAAGCTATTATTATGATTCATATTAATACTGATTAATCTGACTAAATCGTCTGTTAATATCGTCTATAGAAATAATAATAATAATAATAACAACAGCGACTTGATATGAAATGTATATTCGGGTAGCTGTTTTCATATTAATATTTGGGCATAACTGTGAGCCAAGCAAAAGACACAAATGCATATATTGACCTTAAAATATATGACATCTTTTAGGTATTCGACCTCATGGGCTGCTGCTTCCGCTTCCGCATCCATTCCATCCATACACGCACACACACGCGCACACACACACACACACGAAGAAGATGACATCCTCTCTGAAGTAGTAAACCTTCCAAAATGGCCAACGACTCCCATCCACCAACTCCATGTTGTGTCATTCTCATACCACCACTAATTCAAGCCTGCCGTGCTATCACCAATTAGTACGATATTTGTCATCATTAATTACCTTTCAAATTTGTTGACTTTATTATTTTTACAAAGCCGTGGAAGACCCTTTCATACATACTCGGGTTCGTCTTTCCATTACTTAATCCTATCCCTAACAACCTATTAAAATATGAGTTTGTGACAAGCCAACGCATATATATATATATATATATATATATATATATATATATATATATATATATATATATATATATATATATATATATATAT